GGAACGAGCCGTTGGCTGCCTCTGCAGCACCCACCAGGGAGGGATCTGCCTCGCTGGTCAATAAATAACGGAAACACACATTTTTCACCAGCTTACCTGCAAAGTGTGTGGTCCTCGGGACAGGTGCTGTGGTTTTCAGAGACCTCAATGGAGCCACTTCTCGGGGCAGCCTGTTTACAGCCCGGCAAAGCCCCCGCGGTACAAAGTCTGAGCGCCAAGGGCAGCGGGATCACAGCCCATCCCCTGGTAACGGGTCCAAAGTCTGTGCTCGGGACCCGGGGAGGTGGAGTCCCCCGCACCAGACCCTGCACACCGCTGGCAGCCAGCCCTGGAGTCGCTCTGAAAAGAAAACGGGGTCACCACGGTTCGTGGCAAAACGCCACCATTGACACTTGTCACCATGGGGACTGCTGGCTGTCCCCACAGGTCCTGGCTGATGGGGACACGGGGATGGGACTCCCCAGCCACCAGATTCCTGCAGGATCTGGGAAAACTGGATGTTTTGGTGTTGATTTTCATGTGGTAAGAGAAAAACAGCATTGCCTCCCTCCAGATAGACCCCAGGAGCTGTGCTGCCCAGCTTCCCCCTCTTGGGGTCTGATGGCTTCACTTCTAATTTCTGAGCTGCCTCTCCCTTCACAAACCCCACGACTTTGGATTTTGGGCTGAAAAGCCGAGTTTCTGTGGGTGTGGATACCATCACCAGCAGCAGAGGCAGCCCTGGGGCACAGGCAGTGCTTCGGGAGAGTTCCTACAATCAGGGATTTTACCATGCCTGATGCTTTTATAAAAGAGGTAACAAGAATAAAAGAAACGGGAAGTCATCTCCCGCATGCTCAGGTTGCAGACATGTCTCTGGAGTCCCAGGCTTGGGGTTTCAGCTACGCAGCACGACCCACGGCAGGTGACGGGAATTCGGTCCCATGAAAGGGAGAGGAAAGGCAGGGGCAGGCATACGTAGAAGGATGCTTTACCCTGAGAGGTCAACGAGCTTAACACCTGGTACCTTTAGTGCTTTTGTTAGCAGAGCAACCCTCGCACACATCCCACCCCGAGCATCGTTCCGGGGGCTGCCGTCCTGCCCCGAGCAGCAGCGCCAGCATGTGACCGCCCCTGTCCCCGCTGCCCGCCAGCTGCCCAGGGTGCCCGCGGGTGAGGCCACAGCTCGGGGTCCCTCTCTGGGTGCTCGTCCCCCACGTGTGCTGCCCCACGGTCCCATCCTCCCGGGGATGCTGCCAGGAGAAATCCCTGGGGCTGAGGGGGTCCGAGGCTGGAGCATCACCCCTGGGACCCTGGTGCCCTTCGCAGCACGGAGAGGGGGGGGGAAGGCTCTCACCCCACAGCTGGAATTATTAAAGGCTTTCCCAG